CCTGTAAGGCTGACCTCTACGGTCTTTCCAGAACTGCGTGCAATACTTAACTTGGAGATAGAGCACTGGGTGGAGTTTTGTTTTGTTTTCCCAAGACAAGAGGAAAAAAACACAGTAGGAATTGTGATGTGATTTCTCTACTGCAATCTAGGTTTTGAATAAATGCAAATACATACAATTTGTTTTATCTTCCTTGCATAATATAGAATCAGCCCATAGAGGTCAGGCTTCAATGGGAAATTTACAACCTTCGCAATCACAAATTCACTGAGCCAACTGGCAGTAGCATTTACAATACCACATCACACACACACACACACACACACACACAAATACACACACACACATACACATTTTATTTTGGTCTGACTCAGAATGGAGAAAATCTTGCAGTATTGCCCCCTGGCTTTGACTAAGATGCTAAAATAGGACACTGACAGATTAAGTCCTGGTTCTGCAGAGTTTAAATGTGAAACCTTTTCTCCTGCTTTCAAGCACCCTTTTTTGTACTGTCTTTCTGCTGAAATGGCACTTTTCATAAAGCATCTGTGTGTACTTTGAATATTCTAGTGTCAGGAAGTCGGCCCTTCTCATTACACTGTGGGCATTTAAATGTGACCTCGCAATCACACCTCAGCATTTGTTGCTGGTCATTAACAGGAATACAGTAAGGTCTAGTATCAGTTTCTTGTTACAATGTTAATGTCAGGATTTCTTTCCCACTTCTGGTACATGTTCGACAAGACTTAATCAGTGAATGTGATATTGCATTATTTTTCTCCACTTCAAACAGTAATAGCTATCTAAAGTGACAGCTATTTTAAGTTTATAAGAAGGCAAGCAAGTTATTTATATCTGATGTTCCTCCCATTTTCCTCTTAAGACTACTTCAGAAACCAAAGTAGTATTTTTTATAGTTATCTCTGAATTCTCCTGCATAAATACTCTTTAATGCCTCATTTCCTCTTATTACATGCTAAAACTTACTTGGAACATCATAATTAATCACTTCTAATCATTAACAGTGTCCCAGGTATTTCAAAACTCTTGGCTCTCTGAAGTATTCCCCCTTAGGATCTGAATGTTATGAGCCTTGCAGGTAGATTGTGGATACAATAGTTCTGTAGATTTATGGTATCAGAGTCAAATAAAGGAGTGAAATTGAGAGCAAGTCCACAAAGGTCCTATCCTAAATCACAGACTAAATCCTGTTGGACTCAATCCAATTACAAGTAGTTTTCTTTCTTCTGGTGGCAAGATATCTTTGCTGTATACAGAAAATACACCCTTCCTCTTGGATGTACAGGGGTAGCAAACCTCCTGTGGATACTGTCACACTAATAAGGAAGCAACAGTCCCTAAACTTGGGAGCACGCAGCTCATTAAATTAAGTTTAGCACAATTTCCCCATTAAATATTTACAAATGTTACCCAATGAAAAAGACACATAATGGAGAAGTAAGGTACCTCCATGACATGAATACATGTGCAACACCGGCAACATTCTTGTAAGTTAAGCACTGTAGAAAGATGAGGCTCAGAAACATTGGCTTGTCTAACTTGGCCTACAGAGAGAATTTGAAATGGGAGATCTGAACAGTTGATTTCTTCATGCAAAGGACATTGCATGTGATACCATTTGGGCACAGTTTTTGTCCAATGCTGACATGGATATGCATTCTGTGGGGGGCAGAGAGGGGACAGCTAGTGAGGAATAGAGAGAGGCAGATTTATTTATTTTAAGAGGTACCTTGCACAAAAGGAAAGGATAAAGGGTCTGGAAACCAAGCCTTATGAAGAAAGGTTGAAGGAGCTGAGTATGTTTAGCCTGGTAAAGAGAAGTCTGAGAGGAGATATGATAGCCATCTTCAAATATCTAAAGGGCTGTCGCATGAAGGATGGAGCAAACTTGTTTTCTCCTGCTCTGGAGGCTAGGACCCAAACCAATGAATGCAAGTTACAAGAAGGGAGATTCAAGAAGAACTTTCTGACAGTAGGAACTGTTCAATAGTGGAACAGACTTCCATGAGATGTGGTGGACTCTCCTTCCTTGGAGGTTTTTAAGCAGAGGTTGCATGGTCATCTGTCATGTATGATTTAGTTGAAATTCCTGCATTGCAGGGGGTTGGACAAGATGACCTTTGGGGTCCCTTCCAACTCTACAATTCCATGATTCTGTGATTTCTGCACAGTTCAACTGCAGATTGCAGCCTCCACTATTTCATTTGGTGTAAAAAAGATTATGGAAAACTATATGCAGTTGAGTAGTATCATGTGCAGTTTGACATTTGCCATCACTGTATTACTCTAGCTATATTTTACTAAAGACCAGTGTCTGTGTGTGTATGTATGTATACACACACACACACACACACACACACACACAAAACACACACACACATATGTAAAATAAATGTATGCTTAACAATAACAGCAATATTTATTGTCCAGTTTGTAACCAATGCACTTCAATTAATATCTATGTAATGTACTGATTTAATTCTATTTTCCTAAATGGTATAAAAACAAGTACATAGATTTAAATCATCCCACCTTAAGGCTAATGACCTCAAGTATAAAGTTTTAAATAAAGACAGATTATTATGAATACACAATGAGTGCTTTCTAATCTCTAATTAAACGGGCTAATTATTCCCACTGTGGATAATGCCAATATCACTACTTATATCACAGCTGGAATTGCCTTGGTGAGCACATTTACATTATCACTTTGGATTGATCTACATTGTAACATTAAATTGATCAGAAAGATAAATCAATAGCCACACAGTGTTACCTAATGGGTAGTGACTATGTTAATACATTTCTGGTGTGTGTAAATTAAGATCAGCATAAAACCTCTGGTATGATCCTGAATTTTAAAAAGGCATATTTTTAAAAGGTGTGTTCAAGATTCCAGCTCCTCTGCTTCATTCTCCCTTTGCTCTCCCACTTACAGTCAGTAAGTATTACATGGTCACTGAGAAGGATGCTCATTTATGCTCAGTCTCCATTTAGCTGTTTTGGGCTTTCCTCATTTTTCTAAAGAATTTTCTAAAGAGAAACCTTGGAGTTTCTCCAAGTTGGTTGATACTTCTGTCTTCTGCATGGACTATGCCACTGTAGGTCCATAAGCAACAGTGGTCTCCCACTGGACTCTGAAATTAGTATATAAGGTTATGACCCTATTCCTTTACTGTTTTTACTGCTAGGAGGGGATGCGGATGGCACTGTGGTCTAAACCATTGAGCCTCTTGAACTTGCTGATTGGAAGGTCAGTGGTTTGAATCCACACAACGGTGGTGAGCTCCCGTTGCTCTGTCCCAGCTTCTGCCAACCTAGCAGTTCGAAAGCACACCAGTGCAAGTAGATAAATAGGTACCGCTGCGGCGGGAAGGTAAACGGCATTTCCGTGCGCTCTGGTTTCTGTCACGGTGTTCCGTTGTACCAGAAGCGGTTCAGTCATGCTGGCCACATGACCCATAAAGCTATCTGTGGATAAACGCTAGTTCTCTCAGCCTGAAACCAAGATGAGTGCCATGCCCCATAGTCACCTTTGACTGGACTTAACTGTCCTGGGGTCCTTTATCTTTACCTTACCTATTTCTGCTAGGCATATATCCCAGTCTTCCTTTAGAAAGTTCAGAGTATCTTACATGGACACACAGTATTCTCCCATCCAGGAACTGATCAGATTATACTGCCTTAGTTTCACCATTAAGATATGATCAAATGCTCTCAGACCAGTCACTGGACTCCCCAGAGGAACCAGCTCCATCCGCCTCCTTCCTCTCCTTCTACTAAATCAGGCTACAAGGCTTCTCAACTGGCTCTGCTGATACACCAGATACTCTTGAATTCTTACCAGTTCATCTGCTTTTTTCCTCTTCCCTACTAATCCTTTTTCTGTCCGTACTGCATTTTTGTAGATTATAACCCTGAGAGCAGGGGGTTGTCTTCTCATGTTAGTCATAGTTACAAGACACTCTGAGAGCCTTCTGCCTGCCCTCAGCTAAAGAGAGGGGTAAAAATACTTTGAACAAATAAAAGAATAAACAACCACCAACCAAACATTAACTTGCTGTGCCATACATTATAACCAAGTTCTTGAGGTAGTTTATAATGTAGTTATAACTATTAAGGGTGAGAATACACACACACACAAAATATAAATATATATATATCCTTCACAGCCCCCAGGTCCTTGGATGATCTTCAGGCTTCTCGGCTTTTAAATCTTGTGTTAACATAATAATTAAATAATCTAAATTGGATATAGAAATATTGATATAAATGTGTCTTTATGGAAACTCTAATTCCGTGCTGCTTTATAGCACTGCTATAGTCTGAGGTTCCCAGGTAGTCATTTGGTGTACCCCAAGACATCTGTTTCCCACATGTCAGCTTCCTGTTTAACGTAGTATGAGTAATAATCTTTGTCTACTTGAGAATATTTTTTTATTTGTTCATATTTTTGCTGTCACACCCATATTCAACTTCACAGAATGTTCACTCTACATAGTTATAAGCTTGAATTTTCAAAACAGCCTATTACTTCTTGTTTTTCACTGAAATTTAGCTCTTCACATACAAGTTACAACATCCAAAGTTTGTATCTTCTTCTTTTGTCACATGAAGGAAAATTGCGATGAACATACTGGATGAGCAAATCAAGACTGAAAATACAATAAAATGTAGACTACCTTTCAAATCTGACCGGGGCACTTAAAGAAGTACAGTGGTACCTCGGGTTACAAACTTAATTCATTCCGGAGGTCTGTTCTTAACCCAAAACTGTTCTTAACCTGAGGCACGCTTTAGCTAATGGGGCCTCCTACTGCCGCCACACGGCTGCCGCGCGATTTCCATTCTATTTCCGGGTTAGCGGAGTTTGTAACCCGAGGTGTTTGTAACCTGAGGTACCACTGTACACTTTTCTAATTGTTGAGACAGGATGAGGAAATGCTGTGTTTTAATATTTATTTTATTTTATTTTTATTGTAACAATCTGGAGGGTGGGGCAAGGCAGGTGGAAAAGCCATTGCCTGATGAACAGAAAATCTCTCTCCCCTCACAGTTGGTTGGCAGCATTTGCACTGCCAATCATTCCTTATGGCCAAATACTCTTTGTTCCTTGCTAATAACATCCCATCTTCTTCTTAGCATGGGAAACTGTCTGGCCTTGTCTTTTTGAAGCTGCTAGATTCAGCATCTGGTAGCTTCCACTAATACTCCAAGCACTGATTTATTCCTAACATTAACTAAATCTAAGAATTTAGGGGGATCTGGCCCCTCACAATGTCGTAATATATCTATGTGGGATCTAGCCACCCCCGCTCCACAAACTCAGAACATCATATAACAAAGAGCACAAAAATTTCCAGCTCCTGCAACACAGTCTCACACAACTGAGTTGGATTGCTAAAAACTGCCCTGATGTTCCAAACTATTGAGCACAATATGCCCCACTTCTTTGTGGTGTCATTTTACATCCAGGCTGCAAACAATTGCTATTTCAGTGTTTACTTTCCCAAGTGTGGCTAAATAGCTATGCAAGAAGGTCAGTAAAATAACCTTTTTTTCCTCTATTTACATATAATGGGAATTTTGACAATTCGACTTTCAAAGAGAGAGAAAACATTCTGGTGCTGAGAACAGTATTCCACTGAATGCTTAACTGTGACAGATGCTGTCACAGTAATTGCCAATCAGCCTATACACAGCAGCTGAAAACACAAAATACATCACTTTGATCTCCTTGGCTCAAAATGCATTTTACAGCCAAGATATCGGCACCATTTATAGAAGCTGTCCACCACGCAGATCAATTTGATAATGTACATTTTGTTAAAACTGTTGAAGGTTTTTCATAAACACAAGCATATGCAAAACAATCTATGGTCTGCTATGATTCAAAACGTAAACACGCATGTTTTCCTTACTCAAAAGAAGCTCAGCCGCTTAAAACATCTCAATTCCTCTGAAGGACAAAGGTCATCACGAAGCATGCTTAATTTAATCTTACTGCTAATTTGGTAAGTGAATGCCTCACTTGATTTATCGTGTTGGGAAGTGAGGTATGTATAAAGTTTCAGCTTGATTTTTTAAAAATGTGTGAGGGGAAAGTAGCTTACTTACATTTTGCGGGCAGGTCATAACCACAAGTAATTTTTGCTTGTCCAGTTTCACAGCCACTCAGGTTGCGACATTCAGCGACTAGACAGGGGCCAGCAGCTCTATGAATACAGCCATCAACTAAAAAAAAGAGGGAAGAAATTATTATTAAAAAAACAAACAAACTTCAGTAATCAAAGTCTAACTGGACTAAAGCTGAGGCATTTGATGCAGATTTTTTAAAAAAGAAAAAAGTCAGTTTCAGCAGAAAGGACCCTCTAACACTATAATAATATTTGCAGATTGTCCAAAACCCAATAATTTTAATGTGGGGGAGCACCGTTATTTAAGATGAGGTAGCAGAGGCCCAACTGAAACAACTCTATTCCATGTGCTCCTGAGACATTCAGAGGTGGGGGGGACAAGAAAAGGTGATTGCCCCTCAACTGGTAGAAATGAACAAATTTGTAGCAAGCTCCGCCAAAGCTGCCAAAAAATCTGTGGGACCCTAATTTGAACTAGATATGTCATGGAGCTACAGGAATTTTACTGTGATCACCAAGCATGGATACACATATAAAAAGGAAGATCCTGTGAGTATATACAAAAGAAATTCTCACAGTACAATCCCCCTGTGTTAAGGTCGTTGATTATTTACTTAGCCAGTTATCAAGCAAGAAGAAAATTTGGTTTTGTTATTAAAAGACAGCGTGAAAATGAAAGCATAATTTAATACTACCTTGTGGGTGCTGTCTAATCCCTTTTGTATTAGTTGGCGGGATATTAAATGTTAGAAATAAATAAAATAAATAAAACTATTCCACCAGATTGCTTAGTACTTCCCACATCATAAAGTCTTTTAATGCAGAACAATTTGCACAGCACAATAGCATCTCTCTTTCAACTTACATCTTGCTATTGCAATATTCAAAAAACAACAACCAATCATTTAAATTGTAACAGCCGAAACTGTAAAATCATCTAAAAGTTAGTGGTGCAATGCTTAATGCTTATTGTTCTCAAGAGCTTTAGGGAAAAATATTAATAGTGGAAGCATAGATGAGAACGGCAGGGAGAAGGAAGAGGAAAACAAACAGTCAAAGCAATTTTAGTCTATTCACAAGCAATGGGATAAATATATTTTTTCTAATTAGAAGCAAAGTAAAGAAAAGAATAATTAAAAACAATTAAAACAACATAGTAATTATTGCAAGTCACTGCATCAGTGGCAATATTAATAATTTCTTATAAGAAACCCATGGATGCCATATGTTCCCTACATATGTTCAGAGATTATGGCAACAAAACAAAAAAGTAGTAGGATATGCCCCAAATTAAAAGTCTCTAATCATATAAATATTTACATAGGAAAAGGAAATTGTGATGTGTCTGCCTTATGGAATTTTTAGATTCAGAGTTGTGATGGGGTGGGATTTGAAATTTCTAACAACTGCCCCTCCCCAGATTTATTTCACCCCAACTGGATTCTGGTCCAACCCAGAAGGAATCTGTGAATGTTTTTCAGTTTCACTGACAATCCCTTATTGAGGAAAGAAGGCAATGGGGCTCACAAGCAGAGCCCAGCAAGGCCCTCTTTTTTATGAATCTTGCCAGCTGCCATTCCGCCCCCGCCCCCCAAAATGCCTTGAGGGTTGAGCTGACTTCTGGTGTTTTGGAAAGAAAGGAAGGAAGGAAGGAAGGAAGGAAGGAAGGGAGGGAGGAAGGAAGGAAGGGAGGGAGGGCTTGCCGTTGTTTTATTGATTATAGTTTAGAAATTATTTATTGTAACTGTTGAGTGGATTTCTGTTTAACTTTTATATGTTACTATTATTTAATACTATTCTAACGATTGTTGAATGTTACTTTTTTATGTAGGTTGCCTATTTTAAAGTTTTATTATCACATTTTTGTATTGCATTAGATTGTTATAAGATGTACATTTTTTGTTTCTTCAGCTTGTAAACCGCCTTGAATATTGTAAGACAGAAAGACGGTATTCAAATTAAAAAATGATGAATGATGAAAAAAAGAAGGAAGGAAGGAAGGACGGAAGGAAGGAAGGAATTGGCAGGAACTGTTAGCTATATGTGACCAAGATAACTTTCTACACACAAACCCTAAAGGGCCCAAGCAGACCACCAGCAACAGGAGGGGGCATCAGAGCATAAGAGCATACATTTGCAAAACGCATAGGTCTGCTGGAATCCATAGGAACTCATAGGACAATTTAACATTGCTAACACCACTATATTGTCTGGATGACTTCATTACTGAAGGATAACATGGGAAGTGGCTTCCATCTCTGTTTACTGGTTTTGCTAGAAAAAAATAGCAAAAAAGGATCAACTAGTGATGCCTCTACACAAGAACTATCCAGTACAATTTGCTTTAGGTATATTGACTGTGCTGAGGTGACCTTTAGGCTTTCAATAAGGACTCCCTGGTCAGTGGATTCCAGGACAGTCTGCCTGTTCCATGAGTGAAGCCTTACCCTGAGCTGCCTGGAAAAAGCCTCAGTCTCACTTCCATTTGAGGATCTGTAGACCTCTTTACCCAAAGCATCAAAGCAGTTATGCAGTGAGCCAACTTTGTTCACTAATTACTCCTTTGGTGGTTGCAGCCTTGTGGCAGATTTGTTGCACTCTGTCTCTGACCTTGTGGTTTAATTGTGCTAGATTACTTCTTGAAGAAAGTTGAGGTGCTTATTTTTCTCTCTTCTGTGCTCTGCATTCCTGCTCCTGACTACATGGTCTGCCTAAATCTTAAGTTGATGTGTGCCAGTGCTTCTTCTAAGCCTGAGCAGCTTTATACGGAGGGATGGGAACTCGCCTCACACATCTAGTAAGATTGATGATGCCAGGTGAGGCACTAGGTATAAGGCAGGCTTGTAAGCCCAACTTACCCCAGATGATGTTAGAGAGCACAACAGGGCTCTCTACATCAGAATGGGGTTCAAAATCCAGATTCAACTCAGGCATTGGGAGGATGTCTTCCAGACTCAGCTGGTTTAATATCCATTCTGAATCAGAACCATGTGTGAGATAATCCATTTATCACTAATTTAAGAGTTATCTGTCAAAACATTGCAGTTCTAGAAACAGATAGTTGCTGTTGTTTATAGACATAAAGAGAACCAAAGAGCAGAGTCTAAGTCTGTGCCATGGGGCATCAGCACTAAAGTTTATATCCTTCATTTCTTTTCAAATTCAAAGAAGCTCCTTGACTGACACCATAGAGATGAGTCATGGTGGGCAACATAAACACCCATAACATTTCCAATAATTCTGCTATGTTGGAAGCTCTGAAATTTGAATTATGCTGCTGGTGTTGCAGTAGAGAAATAGATGAAGCTGAGTGGAATATTAATTTTCAGAATTGCTAATTAACAACAGTGCATAGTGTTGCTAATTAATAACAGCATACATGTTGTAAACATAGGTGCTCTGAAAGCATTAGATGGAATATGCGTTCCATTTTGCTGACCCAATAATTATTCAGTGCCCATTCCTACTCTCTCTGAAATGATTTCGTAACATTCAACAAAACTGAGGAAGGGAGTGGAGAGGATCGTTTTGGCAGCTGTTGATCTAGCAACATCAAGCATTCAGTCCACCATGGTCACAAAAGTCAGTAGAAACCGAGGATCTATCTTTATTATGTTCTAGAAACTCAGTTGTATGCTTTGAAGTGCTTTGTGAGATTTCAGGAATTCTGCCTAGATTTTTTTAAGGGGGGAAAAAGCACACATAAATGATTCCTTTTGATACTCAAATCCATCCTGAACCTGACTCATTAAATTTACAAAATGCTATTCTGAAGTGTATTTTAATCATCATGGGCAAGCACAATTATGGAATTGCATTTTCAAACCTCTCCATTCAAAACATTCAGTATTTTTCACCCTGGTAATAAATGTACAAAATATGTGCCTGTGCTGCTAAAATCCTGATTGCCAAGAAGCAAAAGAGTGACTTCCCATGTACATTTACATAATGGTTACATAAATAAAGGGATATAAGTATAGGACTAATGGATAAACTGACAGGCTTTTAAGTTGCAAGAGTATAGGGAATAATAAGGAATTTCCAAGGAAACTGACATTTTGTTCATTATGCTAACTTTCTACAGTGGTACCTCTGGACGCAAACGGGATTCGTTCCGGAGCCCCGTTCGCATCATGAGCAGACCGCAACCCGCATCTGTGCATGCGCGATTTGCGATTCGCCACGTCTGCGCATGCACGTGACGTCATTCTGAGTGTCTGCGTATTACTTGTGGGACGCAACCTGAAAAGATTTAACCTGAAGCGTCTTTAACCCGAGGTATGACTGTATTCTGAAACATGCATTGGAATTTTATATAGAGATATATACTGTAAAAGCTGGCTACTAAAAGCAGGATACCCAAACTGTAAACTGTGCTACATTTTTAAGGTAGGATAATTCACACCTGGCTGAAACACTGCGGCATGTATACATGATAGGAGCCTGGAGTTGTGCCTGCCTGCCCTGACTCTGGACCTGTGTAATTTTCACTTGTGGGGTGCATTGTAGAATTAAGGCCGCCTGTTCATTAAGGCCAATCCTTACAATCTTTAATCCCTGATTCTGAGGGTAAAGAACTGTATAAACTGAGCCTGACATCCCAAGCATGGGTGTCAAAGAGACCTGGGCAGGCAGGAAAAAACTCCCTCCACGAATAGCCACTGCATAATCGTAGCACCACCATCGAAGCACCACCCCTACTGCTAGGCAGCATGTGACAGCCGCCTCAGGCAACTGATCTTTGGGGGTCATGAAAGGGTAGCAAATTGTTACTTATTTAATGCCTTACTGTCGTATTTTTTTCCTCCCAGGAAGAGACATCTGTGGGGTTTTATACCTTACATGCCAAAATAACTTGGCTAGCTTTCAGTTCTATGGAACTTAATTCTATGGACCCCATAGCTGTTCTGCGCCGCGTAGCAAAATATTTTGGGCCAGCCCTACAAATTGTGAGGTAGTTGTGAATTAATGGTTTGAAAATAAATGTGAAACATATTTGCAAAGTATTTGTTCAATTGCCTGAGAAACACCAGCATTACAAAACAAACAAACAAGCAGTAGTGTTCATCGTCCAATATCCACAAATGTCTAGATATTTATGTAAGACTATAATTTATAAGATTTAGGGCAAAGCTTTGTGTTACAAATTTGGGGATATTTGTCTTTTTATGTAACTCAAAATGGAGTGATTTGCAAGTGAGAATTAAGAGGGGGGGGATTAAAATCTTCTCCTCATGTGGGTATAGGAAGTATCCTTTCAGATCTTAAAGGGACAACCAAAATCTCTGCAGAGGCCCAACACCTCCACCCACAAACTATACGTTCTCTTCATAGGAAATTGGTAGAAGCATTATCCTTGAGGGGAAGTATGCAACACTGGCATGATCAATTGTTTGCTCCACAAACAGGGAAGCAAACTATCTATTTTATCACTCTGAAAATAATTGCTTAGGAGAAGATGCAAGGACGTAATCATTTGCTAGGAGGATCCTGCTTGAAGTATATTAAAACCAATGAGTATAGCATTTAGATTTGTCAGGGAGGGCCGACAAAAAAGCCATGGGCAATGTCCTTTCAAAGCACACAATAAAAGAATATTACAAAGCTAAATGCAGGCTCATGAATTACTTATACAGTAGCTGAGTGCTAAAACTCTTAGCAGCTCTTCAAAACTTAATAGTTAAAATTATACAGCCGACACTGGACAATTTAATGATGTACAATGCAGATAAATGTATTTCTTACTGAGGGGAGGGGGGAAATCCTTAAGAATTGCAAATTAATCCAGGGCAAAGCAAACAGCTTTAATGGTGCCAGGAGATGCTTTGTTAACAAAAATATTACACATATCTAGCCTTGCCTCCCTCAAACGATGATAGAAATGTTAACATAATCAAACACCACAGCAAAATTAAGCAATCATACAGGGAAAGGAAGGCTATAAATGTATTTTGACCTTGCAGATGCTATTTAATAAAGAAAAAAGAACCCAGTGTGCTTGAAATAAAAATAAAATTGTAAGCACTATATCATTAAACACAGGAAGAAAGGGCAAAATTCTTTTCCCACGTAACATTTTTGCTAATTAACTTCCCACAGAAAATTGTTGAAGGAGTTACTCTGAAGTATGCTATCTGCTGTGCAATGTTGTTGACCAATATAGTAAATATTGGGGGCAATGCTAAATGAAAGATCCCAGAGATGCTATAGCAGAAAGGTTGAGGGAGAAGAGCCAATAGGAAATATTTCTGACATGGCTTCTAAAAGGCACTCACACTGTGTGCTCTGTGGTTTATGCTGACTTGATAAGTCATTACGGAAAAGGAAAAAATGGAGTTATTCCAATTGAGCAATACTGGTAAAGTCTGCCTGGGAGAGGAAGATAGAAGCAAATTACGATCTCCTTACTGTAATCCATTTGCATTGCCAATCATGTAATTCTTGTTGATTGCACAAGAATGAGTAACAAATCAAAAAGAAATCTGAAAAGATTAAAAGCATAGGGTTGCATCTGACCAACTTATCTTCAGTAGACACATTTAAATCAGTGGTGTTCACTAACTTAAGTTCTATTATTTCAGTGGGTTTACTCTGGGTTTACTCTGACTTAGTCATAGTGAATCTCTGAATTTCCAGACACACTAAATTCACCTCTCTTGTATGCCTGTTGCCTCTGGACTTTTGCTCAACTCACTTCAACAATATTCCATAAGGAAGGTCTTTGTGTTTACAAATGGGAGACTCTAGTTGACCCTGTAAACCAGGGGTTGTCAACCTGGTCCCTACCACCCACTAGTGGGCGTTTCAGGATTCTAGGTGGGCATTAGGGGGTTCTACGGAATAAGATGAATCCTTCCATCAAGCACTGGTGGGTGGGAAGGAAATTTTGCCATCAAGAAAGATGCATTAGTGGGTGGTAGGTATAAAAAGGTTGACTATCCCTGCTGTAAACTATTCTCTCCGTGCTTTCTAACCTAGGCTTCTAAATCCATGGTTGGCATTAGTCAGGGATCCAATGCATAGCCAACAGTAAAAATGAAAACAGCTCTCATATTCAAAACCTGCTATAAGATCTAGATCGCTCTCAATTAAGATCAAGGAGAAATTTTTTTGACATCGTGGACACTAAAAGGAGATAGCAGCATTCCCAAACCTATCATCTCTCCCACATTCTGATACTTCAAACACATCTGTCCTTTTCTCTTTCAGTTTCTACTGTCTCTGCCTACAACTAGCATACATAATGCTCAAATACAGTAGCTTCATATTCCTCTCTCCTTCTCCTTCTCTAGACATCAAATGATTCCCTGTCTTTTTCCAAGTGTTTAATGGAACAGAGATGCATTAAAGTAGAAATGGGGGACCTGTTCCATAACTCACATCCATGCCAGGCCATTGGCCATGTTGTCTGGAACTGATAGAAACGGCAGCCCACCAACATCTGGATGGCTACCACTGCCACTGCATTAAAGCTTTAACTGATCAGCTCAACTATTCAACGCCTAGGTTGTTGCGGCAAAACTGTAATGTCAAATAAATTCACACTTCTGGTGGCCCACTCAGACTTAGCGTAAGGACTCAGGGCAATATGGTTCTTCTAAAACCTGTCTGAATGCCGGCAGACAAACAATTAAAAATAAAATCCAAAACTCTTAGCCTATCATACAACTTTTTGTATTTTGTTTTTTTCTTTTGCAAAAAACACACGAATAATTGATAATAGGGCATGTATGTGCAAAGTACATGAGCTTTCATTGTATCATAATCAGGACATTACTTTTCACTGAAGGTATGACTGGTTTTGTAGGGTTGGTATTACTATGGCTATCGTTCAAACAATAATACAAAAGGTAGTGAATTTATTTTATTTCATTTTATTTTATTACTAAATCCAAGGCTATAACAAGAAGAGTCTTGATTAATATTGTAAAACTAATGCAGTGCAGCTTATTTCAAAGAGCATGTGCCTTCTGTTTCAAAAGACAAATCATATGTATCTAGATAATAGGGGGAAATGGTTTCTATTGTATATGAGATATTTACAGATTTATCCATCATTAATCCATTCTTCTTAAATGAAAGCATGCACTGTACCCATCTACTGGTGGGTAGATTCAGATGTCCCATACTCAGAGACTGATAGGACCCGACATGTTCTGGAATGCTTTGGGAGATCTTCCAGTGGAGAAAGCTGACTTATGTTGAAGTCATGGTCTCCCTATGAAACAATGAGATGAGATGGGCAGTTGACACAATCCCTCCTGAGCACCTCTCTGGCACTGTAAAGCCTAACGCCTTGGCATTCTGGAAAGCCATGGGCTGTAAAGCAAGCTGAATGAAGACTAGAGCACAAGTGGCATGAATCTTCCTCTGAAGATGATAAGAGCATGATTAGTACCACATAATCATGCCTACCATGAAGCAGTGCAGATGACAAAACAGACCTGCATTGCATCCTCTAGTTGTTGGCTCTATTGGGTGGTCCCACTGAAGTGAAGGAATCTCTGGGGCACTGAAGGACCTGCTGTGACCAGCTGGCTGCAGGATTAATTCACTTGAATTCAGAGTGGCCTTGCCTGCACAGAAATTGCAGTTCCAGTCGAAGGACCCAATGCCACAGTCTGTTATGTGTTTATGCAGCCTGATGATATGGACATGTTGCTTGTGGTTATATGCCTGACCATGTGTCCTATTGACCACTGTCAACATCATCTTGTGGTGGGGCAGGGTGTTACTGGGTGGGTCCAGAGTGTGATTAATGCTTTTATTGCATGAGGAGGTTGAAAGAGCTAGCGGTATGGCCAACCCTAAAGAAATCATACATGATTTGGAATAACTACCAACCAGTTGCAAATACTCTCTTCTTAGGGAGGGTGGTAGATAGGGCTGTGGCAGGTCAGCTGTCAGTATTCTTGGATGACACAGATTATTGGTCACCCTAATGGATGACCTTTACCAAGAGCAAGATGAGGAGAGCCTTAGTGATTGAAATGCACCGTGTATCTTCCCAACATAAGAACATAAGGACAGCCTGCTGGATCAGACCAATGGCCCATCTAGTCCAGCATCCTAGTATCACAGTGGCCAAACAGATGCCTGTGGGAAACCAGCAACCAACCCTTGGTTTCAAGCAACTGGTATTCAGAAGCATTACTGCTTTGAACAGTGGTGGCAGAGGATAGCTATTGCAGCTAGGGGCCATTGATGGCCCAAAATCATTGTTGTTCATGGCGGAGAGGGCTAGCAGTGCAATCATATTCAAAAAAATAATTGAATGGGGTTAATTTTTGTAATTTGAAATTTCAACAACAGCTATAACAAACCATGGGGTGTGTTTTACGTCAGAATCTGAATGCATTCTACTGGAATTATTTGAAGAATCAATTATACATGCCCGCCTGTAACATTACTGACACATGAAAATCAATGCATTTTGATCTATCATCCCCAAGCTGTTTCTTCCCATGCAAGACTTTTGATTAGCGCCCCTGAATTAGCATTTCTATTCACAAGCTTCTCACAGCTGTGAGAAGCACTGTGCTTGTGGTGGAGTAAAGGTACCATAAATATGACACTGAGTCTGCCCCACTGAACCTAATGGACTTTGTAAATGCTCTATCATTGAAATTATTTTATCCAGCTATTATGTTTTACCCTGTACAGCTCATCCTTATGGCTGTTTAGAACTAAGTCTACACAGGCATATTCAGAATATTTCACTCAAATTTCCTACATCTTTCTTTACATGTTTCAGGTGCAGATACACTTCCTCCCCCAAGTATTGCATAGTCAATATTATTACTAAAGGGGAGAAATTAGATGTAGAACTGTTCTGTTAGTGCAAGCATTTCAGCTTGCCCTTTTGGGGGGGGGGAGAAAAGGAAGACAGCACTGTTGCCCTAGAAGATGTCCTTGAGTGGGCTTCTCCTAACAGCACTGCTAACTTGAATCTGGCTCAATAAATACAGAATGTGAAATGACACACCCCCTAATGTGGCAGGTGGCCACACAGCCCCACACACAAACGAACACTTGTTGCATATAAATGCTGCCAGGAGTTCAAATTGGGTGCCTTCAGGTCTGTGAACCTACCCAATGAGGTAAGCTACTGAAATGTTGGTGTCTGCTGAAGCAGTCAAGTATCAGCAGGCCCTGGATAGACTCCACTCATCCAGTTTGGCTGCTGGAAAAGACTGTCAGAGAACTTCCCATTTCTGCTAGTCTTGCTTGAGCATGAAGGTCTTCTTATGCTCAAGTGTCTTCTCATTGGTTGTCTTTTGGTCCTAATTTTTAGTTTGCTCTTTGGTCTTGTCTCCTACTTTGGTCTTTGGCCTTGACTTCTGGCTTGCTCTATTCTTCTACCTCTGGATTGGACCTTAATTTCTGATGCCTGGTTCCTCACTTCCCTCACAACTACTGCCCATGCCCATGCCCAACTCCACTCTGTCTGGCAGCAGCTCTCTGCAGTCTCAAGCAGAGGGTCTTTCTCATCACCCGATCCTTTTAACTTTAGATGTCAGGGGCTGAATCTGGGGCCTTCTGAAAAGCATGTGCTCTACCACAAGGCTAAAGTTTGCTCAGAGAATTAAGCAGCATAAAGGTGCTTGAAAATGCCTCCTAGAGGGAAGGGAAAATTTGTTAATTTGGGGTGTATGTATGCACTTACTTACACCCTTTTTAAATGCACATGATTATGGTGCTCAGACAAGGTAGCTCTTCAATCAGCAAACCCCCAAAAAGAAGACTCCCAGAGTTAAGGCAGGTATTCTGCAGGAGTCAGATAACCTAATACCATTAGTCACATCAGGTTTATTTAAGTAGGTGGTGAATCTGATTCCATGTAAACATGTAAAATATATGTATTGAAACTAGAAAGTTTAAATGAAGTTCTGAGAAAAAAATTGATGAATAAATTCTTCACAGGCATACAGTTTATAAACTGCTTCAAAAATGCCTATAGTAACAGCACATGCATATTACAGCAGATAACCATGATTAAGAGCATTTGTACAGTGAGTTGAGTGTAATTAACCCCAAATGACAATTTAAAAGATTAACAGCCAATTCAACATAAAACTAAGGTTCAATAACAGAAGGAGAGTTGTCTGGTGTATTCCCGAATCTTAGATTTAGTAACCCTTTATTTGGAAGGAAAGAGATGTAAATTAAAATGAAATAATAAATATTCACAGCACTAACATGGAAGGGTATATCTTTTTTAAAAAAATAAATAAACACAAACAACTTAAACTGAGTTTCATAGAAGGGAATGGAAATAGTGTGTGCCTGTGGCTGCATTCCAGGGAAGTACACAGGTGGAATAATTTATCAGTAGGACTGGAGTTGTCTTCCTCCAGACCAACAAATAGAAGCACATTCATATACACAGGCCATAATGTCACATTCTAAAAGTCACTTTTGAGACTTGGGCAGGATCTTAAAAGCAGCCTGCCATGAGGAGGGAGCACATTTCCTATTTGGAAAGGAAAGAATAAAAGCACCATCAGACACATGAAATTCATTCCAAATGCCTAAAGGGTCTTGAAGAATTGCTAGGGGATGGAAACCTCAGTTGTGGTTGCCTCACAAGGCGTTCTTCACTTTCCATGTAATGCCTTGCAACTGCTATTTGAGGCCTCCCATAACCTTGCCACAGCCCATTTCTGTGAGCCGTGTTGACTTAATGCAAGGATCTAGATTCAGGTAGGTAGCAGTGTTGGTCTGACGCAGTCAAAATATATATAAAAATAAAAAAAAATGTCCAGTAGCACCTTAGAGAGCAACTAAGTTTGTTCTTGGTATAAGCTTTCGTGTGCATGCACACTTCTTCAGATATATGCACACGAAAGCTTATACCAAGAACAAACTTAGTTGGTCTCTAAGGTGCTACTGGACAATTTTTAATTTTTTAAAATATATTTTAATGCAAGGAGTCCAAGAAGATGGGCTGTGGACTTAACTCAGGGAGATAATCCCATGAGAAATAAATGCAAACACAGAAAGGAGGAAGAACATGCTCTCTTCTTCAATTCCTATCAACAACTTCCTTGCTGGTGATACTCCAGCAAAGTCCAAAGCAAATTGTGGTGGCACAAAGGTAAGCAGAAGATAAAAGGTATGGGCAGTGCATGTTTCAATATCAATGGGAAAGAAGGAAGGGAGTGAAGAGCTTATCTACATACCAGTGATAAGGGATATGACCCACTGAGTAATTCATAAAGTATACTCATTGGAAATACAAAATAAAATGGCTAAGTCCTTCATTACTTCTGTGCCAGATAGAGATGTACCTAAATCTAGGTGGGGCAACCACAGTCTTCAACACTGACAAACACTTCATACACTCAGCAGCTTGGCAATCACATGCACAACACAGAGTGCAGGCCTCTGCATGCAAAATCTCAATGAGATGTCTCATCAAATGACTGGGAGTGGGTGTGTGTCTGAGCCCTATTGCTCATATGTAATGTCTTCATTTGGCAAGTGTTGGAAGTAGCTATTGTCCTCAGGTTTGGCAATGACTTGAAGGCTGTTCACATATTGCCTCAGGTCACATGTAATACTAAGACAAAATTTGGCTTAGTGTAAATGCACAAGCACGAAGGTTCCCAGAAAGGAGACTGGGGCTGCTTTAGGTCTACTGCTGATGTGCTACTATGAGCTAAGTCATTGTTTGGCATAGCATGTTATTCAAACCTGGGCTTGTATTTGTCTTCTCTGTTGAGCTGCAAACTAATAACAAACCAGCTTATCTGGAAGAAGGAAGCCCTGGTTCAGACAACACATGAAGAAGAAGAAGAGGAAGAGGAGGAGGAGGAGGAGGAGTTTGGATTTGATATCCCGCTGTATCACTACCCGAAGGAATCTCAAAGCGGCTAACATTCTACTTTCCCTTCCTCCCCCACAACAAACACTCTGTGAGGTGAGTGAGGCTGAGAAACTTCAGAGAAGTGTGACTGGCCCAAGGTCACCCAGCAGCTGCATGCAGAGTAGCGGAGACGCGAACCCAGTTCACCAGATTACAAGTCTACTGCTCTTAACCACTACACCACACTGGCTCTCCAAAGCACGACAGTTCACAGCCACACACAGCAGGAGGATCAGAAGAGGAGCAAAGTGACCACAGTATCCTCTCTGGGAACATGTGCATTCTGGCTAAGCCATAGTTTGGTTTAGCATAACAGTGTACATGGAATGGAGTGTATCTGGGATATCCCAGTATCCTTTCCCCCTCCCCTGCACAAAGTACCTTCTCCATTGACTTCTCTGGATGGTGCTTTTAGTCACTCTACCTAGTCTCTTTCCTGTCTCCCAAATCTTTCATTGTCCCTCAGAATCGCCGCACAAAAAAACCTCTTCTCAAAATCTCCTATGGCATTACCTCAAGGCCAAAAAAGGATTGCGCTCAAGTCATCCTGCAAGGAGCTACCCTTAACAGAGTTAAATAAAACCGGGGTTCACCTGAACCCTCCTCATTGTGGAGAAACTCCATGCAAGGAGCAACCATGATTGGAAAAGGTCTCACCTAATACAAAGAAGTTCTGCCCAGGTGCATCAGCATGCAGAGAAAACTCCTCCTGTCATCCACTGAACTCACCACACCTACACTCACAACAGCACCTACACAAGTTACTTAAAACCAGTTGTAATAATGCCTGCATAGGGCTAGATTCTTACATCTGAACATGTGCACATTGCATGCGAACACACACTGAATTTTAATGAGTAGACAATCCTAGTATAAACTAGGAATGAATCTGAACTCTTTTTCAGATTATAGAATCATATCATAGAATTTTACAGTTGGAAGGGACCCTGACGATCATCTAATCCAACCCCCGCCAATGTAGGAATATGCAGCTGTCCCATATGGGGATTGAACCTGCAACCTTGGCATTATCGGCACTATGTTCTAACCAACTGAACTATCTGGGCTCATAGAGTTCTCATTATTTTTATTTTATTTTTAATGGTAGGAGACTTGTGAATCAATATGAACAACAGGATCTGACAAGCCTAATCACCCTTTCTGCCGGATACTCATGCCTTTTCATTCTTTGAATCATGATATTCTTTACCCAAACCATTGTAGACTGTCAAACCAGCTAATTGGAATTTGTCTTACCAAAGGACCAAAAGTTTAGAACTTGCAGACACAACTAGTAATACTTAATAGTTTGTTTTTGCAACCTTAGTATGTGCCAAACATGTTTAAGTTTGTTTTGATGTTTTAATTATATGGTTTCATTTATTTATCCTTGAGTTGGTTCATTTATTCTTTTTAATGCAGTTTTATTTGATGTCTGTTTTCTATATGCAGTATTTATTTATTTGTTTGCTTACTCTTCCATTTATATCCTGCTCTCCCTTCCAAAGGAGCCCAGGGCAGAATGTTATGTGACCATAGGTTTTTGTATGTTGGATGAGAAAGGATTAAACAAAACAGCTAATCACGGAAACACATTTTACAAGGAAAGGTGCCATATTGTCTAAGAGGTCAGCCCAAGAACAACTCTGTGTGTGTGTGTGTGTGTGCGCGCGCATAATCAAATTGTAGGGCAACAAGAGTGGTAAGTGAGCTGAACAATGGATGTGATTCTTACTTTTCTCCAGTAGGCTACATTTCAACTACATGAAGGTCAGTGTGACTATGTAGACACACCTCTCTTCATCCAGGCAACAACAATTCAAGGGCACATTCTGGCCATGCAAAAGGATTTGGGAGGGTGCGGGATAAGAGATGTGGACTGGGGTGTTGCCTGGGGCTGAATAGGGCATTTTGCCCCTGAACCTGAGGTTCTCCCCCCTCCACGGCCACCTTACAAGGTTACTATAAAGATTACAGCTAGACAATGCAGATGAAGCATTCTAAACATTTCAAAGTACTATACAAATATGTTATCACCACCACTATAACTTTCGGCTACAGAAAACAAGATTCTTCTGCTATTGCTATGGTTACAAAAGTGGAGGCTTCCTTTAGCCGATAACCTCCTTTGGTCCCAAAATAAAACAATCCTTCATATAACTCAAAACTGCCCTTGCATGACAACTTCTATGCCGACCTATTCACTAGCCTGCATGCTGTGTCTCATCAGCTATGCATGGGGGGCGGAGTGTGTGAGTGTGTGCTTAAATAGAAGGCTTGAGTTATACCATTTCAAGAATCATGGGTTTAGGATTGCTATTTACATTTGCAATTTGCAATGTACATTTTCTTTCTACACACATTCTTTATTACTCTCCAAAGACCCACAAGAAACAGTTTCAAAAGCAAGAAACAGTTTCAAAAGCAAGAAACAGTTTCAAAACGCACAAGAAACAGTTTCTGAACCAAGTATAGGAGCTCTGATGTGACTTCAAAAAATTAGGGGGGAAATGCTGTTAAATTCTTCTAAATTTTATTTCAAAATATTGTTGCAGGCTACCCCCAGTCTCCAAGTGGTACAAGATTCCAGGGGGTTCCAGGCACTTCACCCAGGATTCATGCTTCCTTTTGGAAATGAGACACAGTGGAGACTGTAGTGTCTTTATGATATATGGATTATTTACACATATATACAACCTGATAGTACAACCAGTACTATCACCCCAAGACCTTCTTGTTTCTCCCATAGCTGCAGCCTTGGATCCAAACTGAAATCAACCATCGTACTCAGACCCTATCTCCAGCTTGCCGCCTTTACAAGCCTGCAACCTTTTCCCTCCCAGCCAACTCTAAAACTTTGTCTTTGTCTTCTCACTATCTAAGAGCTGGAGGAGGGACCCCACAGCTTTTGCTGTCTGGCAAGGAGCCCCCTGTCCTTGGCTTTCCAAATAGGTCATTACATTTTGCTTTGTTTCCTTCAGGAACTGCATGGCTTATATTTTAACCCTTGCTGGATCCAGGGGTTCAGGAGGCTTGATTAAATTCCAGCACCTACTGGATCCAGAAACTTAGAGGAGCCTGGCACCCCTGAACTCATAACACTGTATTTTTACTAAACTCTCTACATTCACAAGCAATTGCAAGTGTTTACCACCAACTAATTTTATTTAACTGAGTTTTCACATAGTGTCAGCTTGACTAACAAACAATAGGATCTTGGTATTTATTCCCATTAAAGGAGGAACCCAGGAGAACTGTAACAAACAAACAAACTTAATTGGAAAGGCAACCATCGTGGAAGCAGGTGCTTAAAAAAGCAGCTTCAATAAGGCATGACAGGAGTCAGGAAAGTGTCAGGAAAGACTTTGTGTGATGTTGGGAGAAAGGTAAGAAAATGACACATGAGGTTCCATTCTGCTAAGTGCAGAACAGCCTGTGTTTATTATTTATTTCTTGTGTTAGGAAATCCAGTTGTTCCCTTTTTAAATCTCATCAGCTTCAGGGTTAAACCTAAACAGGCATGGATTGCTTCCACTCTTCCCACACCCACTTACTGAAGCAGAAAACACCAGTAAGTTAAGCTAATGTGTTTTGATAGTACAGGAAGGCAAAATAAACTTTCACACACAGATGCACAAAAGGTTGCAAAATAGTTGTTTTAAGTCCATGGGAACTAAACGATCATCACAAAAAATAGTAGGCAAGTCAGTAAGACACACACACACACACACACACAGAGTGACTGCATTTTTTGTCATTGTGATTTTCAGTGAAACCAGAGTAGAAAAAGCAATCACCATAAGGAAAAGGGCCACAGCTCAGTGGGAGAGCAAGAAGTTCCAGGTATAATTATCATCTCCAGGTAGGGATGGGGCAATTCCCTGCCTTGCCAGTCACTGAGCTAGATGAATCAATGGTCAGACTCAACATAAGGCAGCTTCCTATGTCTCCTACTCTTACTAAAATATTACCAATACTGCTGATTAAAGTCCACCCCCAATTGAACCTTTGCTTAAAGTCTCATTATGCTAAAGCATAATGCTAAATTTTAAAAAGCCTTGCATGACAAAAGAATCACCCCTCGAGGCCTGAGATGTACCCAAGCTTTAACAAACAACTGAGCAACCATTCAGGATCTACCCTAGGGTGCATGTATTAGGAGGTCTGCTTTAAAATTGCAAATACACTTTGCTCACAGTGATACTATTAAGTGTCTGGAAGTATGATTAAAAAGAAGTCAGTGAATCTATTTTCAAGTAAGTTCAAGCTTCAAGCTTTATTGTTATTTCTAGCCAATGGCAATTACAATATAAACACAGAATGCATGTATTTAAAACACAGAAGAAGAAATCATCAGTTCAGTAAAACTGGGATAAGCCCTGTGAATACAAATAGGGAATACTTTCAAAGAAGTATATAATTTAATTTTTTTAAACAAACCTAATTCTGTTCAGTGACACAACTTCAAAGGAAGGTTTGGTCACGTAAAATCTTACACACAGCACGCAGTAATATAGGACCATTGTTATAGCTGAAACAACTAGATGAATCATAGCAACAGGGTTCCATGAAATTCAACCCTAGTGGAAATTAATGAACTACAGGTGTGAATATCATGTTAGCATCTTTGCCCCAGAGGCATATTCCTGCAGCCTTTTCTCTGACACCTGGTCTCTAAAAGCATTATGGTTAATTTATCAAAACACACCATCAATTTTCCATGAGTTTATGAATGACACTGAAAGGGAAAAAGCCAAGTCCCTCCAAAGAAAGAGCTTTATGTGATACACTGAGCATGAAATGCGTTCGTGTTTACTGAATGCTGTTTTGTCTATCCTAATCACTTTCTAGATTAGAGCCTCATTCAAGTGGGTATGATGAAGTATTTCTCCTTAATTAGAGGCCTGAAGCTCCAGCAACAGCTAGAGACCAACGCTATCTTTCCTATCTTTTTCTCTGTTGTTATATCTGCTGTACGAGTCTACTGTGGCCGGCAAGAACAACATCTGCCCACACATTTAATCAATCTAAATGATTTCACAAATTTCTCCCAGTCTACTGAACTGGACTCCTTGGCTTCCCATTCAGATGGAAGCAAGGAAATTCATCCGTGCACCTTGAATGCATGCGTAGAATGATGGCTTATAGTACTTTGAGTTTGTCAAGGATTATTTTATGTTCTATATCCTCTAGGAAATTGTTTCCGTCCTCTATTTTTCCATACAAGCCATATATAAAGCACCTTTGAAGGACAGCCTGTTACATGCTTGCTAATCTTTCCTCTGCAGGCTCAGAAATGTTGGTTCCAATAAAGGAACTGAATCAGGTTTATCTGCTTAAGGACACCACCCATGAAGACATTAACAGTTGCGCAGAATAGCAAAGTGTGATATTTAGCATCGAAGCATTTTAATGCAGTTCCATGCTATAAAGAAAATTAACTATACCTGAGTGCTCTGTTGAGTAAGATATACACAGGAGTCATTCACAGTATCATACAGAACGTGAAATAAGAAACCATAACTCAGTATGTCTTTGATTCATGGATCGTTAGAAAGTACATCATCTATTTATTCATCCAATGCTACGCTCACTAATTTTTTGCCCTTTGAGTGAGTTCCATCCAAGTGAAACAAAGGTCAGTGAAACACCAAACCTCTATTACAATCAAATGTGACTGCCACTTCATTGAAATGTGGGCTCTGCATAATAATTTTTGAATGCGGATAGGCAATAAGAATGAAAATAACTCTGGCAGATGGATCACAGTAATTAATATAAACACTCAGCTTCAACTAAAAATTGCCCAGGGACTGTACAGCTGAAGAAAATCACATTCTGACCTCTGCCACTAGCCAGGGATCTAGGGGCTGCTGGGCTGTGTGTTTGTGTATCTGTACTTAATCGTAGGGAGACCCACCAGTCCATATTTGAGGATACTCTGAGATATTCAGAAAGCTACTGGCCCATCACAGTAGACAATACTGAGCTAGAAAAGTTAACAGCATGACCTGTGATAAACCAGCTTCCTATGCTCCTTAAATCTCTCATAACAAATAGTTTGGGAATTACTCCTAATTTCTCCTATATAACAACCAGACACCAAGGACCTGTTCTGATATAGCATGTGCTGCTTTCTTCCACAGATTAACAGAAGCTGGAAAAATTATAGCAGATCAACAGCTAAACATGGACTTTGTCAGAAAGAACTATGAACAGATGATTAACTAGCTCTGGCTCATGAATCTTTTTTTCCTGCAAAATCTACAGAGATGTAACGCTTTCAACATGTAGGGAGTGGGTGGCACTGTGGTCTTAACTACTGAGCCTCTTGGGCTTGCTGATTGGAAGGTCGGCGCTTCGAAACTCCTTGCGATGGAGTGTGAGCTCCCATTCTGTCCCAGCTCCTGCCAACCTAACAGTTCAAAAGCACACCAGTGCAAGTAGATAAATAGGTACCACTGCGGCGGGAAGGTAAACGGCATTTTCGTGCACTCTGGTTTCCATCACGGTGTTCCGTTGCACCAGAAGCGATTTAGTCTTGCTGGCCACATGACCCTGAAAGCTGTCTGGGGACAAACACTGGCTCCCTTGGCCTGAAGCAAATTAAGCACTGCACCCCATAGTCAAGTTTGACTGGAGTTAACCATCCAAACGTCCTTTATCTTTACCTTTTTACCTTATGTGCGATCCACCATCAGGAAGGGTACTGTTTTGTAAGCACTGGCCCTATTTCATATCTCATCTATTCCAGAATCATTCTCAAACTGAAAATATAAAAATAAGTCCCCTAAACCATGCTGATAATGAAACTTTTTTTATAAAAAAAAAGAGTTCCTAATATTCTTTTAATCAGATTAAACATGAATATTTCTTCTAACTATGATGCCCATTTTTCTAATCTATTGAACAGTATAATTTTAATTAGCTCATACTAATTATCTCTGGTGTTTGGGGATTGTTACACCTATTGCTACATAAACAAATTGAATTATTTACATAGCTGTCAACCTTCCCTTTTTTGCGGGAAATTCCCTTATTCCAGTGCCGTTTCCCACTGCTATCCCGGATTGTTAGATATCCCGTAGACTGTCCCCGGGACAGGTGAGGCTGCTGATCCCTTATTTTGAAATCTGAAAGTTGACAGCTATGATTATTTACTTATTCGGTTTTCTACTAAACAAGCTAATACAAGCTTAATTAGTATAAATACTGTTTTGATGGCTGGAGCAAAAGAGATATAAGTAACATCTATCCATAGAATCACAATGTTGACAGTTCCTTAAGTAATACTTGAATCTGTTAAATGACGGCCTTAAACCCCTATGGTTGGCCTAACTATTAATTCTTCTGCTGAAAATAAATCTCTTTCAAGAAGCTTATAAATGAGTTCCATTAAGAGTACACGTCTAACTTGAAACAGAAAGCAGCTCTGTCTGGAGCTGCTCTCGAAAGACTGGTTGAAGGAATCAGCCTGGTGCAGACTGTGTATGGCAACTTGCCCCAGATGAAAAAGTGGGCTATCGGCAGCTGATTAAACTGGTTTTGCGGTGTGCCTTGACCAGGCATAGGCAAACTCGGCCCTCCAGATGTTTTGGGACTACAACTCCCATCATCCCTGACCACTGGTCCTGTTAGCTAGGGATGATGGGAGCTGTAGTCCCAAAACACCTGGAGGGCCGAGTTTGCCTATGCCTGGCCTTGACCATTTACACGTTCATGAACCATTCAAAGTCTATTCAGAAAAGACACTGAAATATTTTTGGCTGCAATTAATTCATTGCAGTGCCCAAGACTCCACCCAAAGTACCAAATATTAAACTTTGTGTTTGTGTGTGGGTACTTTGGAAATTGGATTGAATTAGGAGATTAAGGTGAGAAAGCAAATATGAATTAAGAGAGTACTTGGAGGTTTTACAGTCAGAGTACTTGTGAGTTTTACAGACAAACTCGTCTAAGAAGCAGGACATGGAATGGAAAGCAGCTCATTCTGCTGCAGATTTGTTTCATTTATATAAAGTAGCATTCTATAGCATTCATTTATATAAAATAGCATCCTATAAACCATATGTTTTAAACAAAACGTATGGGTTTGGTACAGCATGTGGGGAGAGGAACAGAGAAGACAAAGGAAAGGGCATGTTAAAATATGCATGTAAACCATCTTGAGCTTGGATAATTCAGCTGGTAGAACATAAGACTCTTAATTTCGGGATTGGGGGTTCAAGCCCCACATTAGGTGAAAGATTCCTGCATTGCAGGGGTTTGGACTAGCTGACCCTCGTGATCCCTTCCAATTCTACAATTCTGTGGTTCTGGAAACCTGTAGCTCTGAATGTGTTGGATTCCAACTCCCACCAGCCCCAGCCAGCATGACCAAGAGTCAGGGTTGAGGAGAGTTGTAGTCTATTTACACCTGAAGGCCAAGTAGCCCATCACTGGCTTAGAGGATGGAAAAGAAGGTACAAACAGACATATATAGATGAAAGTTCTGCACTGCAGTTATGAAGTCATAAATGCTAGACATAAACCCGCAGACAGTTTCGAATGCTACTTGCTGGAATGAAATCAGTAAAAACTACACTACTTGTTAATTAAAATGAACAGGTCAGGGCCATTAGAAACAATTGCTCTTGAGCAGAACATGTTTTCTGTTGTATCTGGCCACATTCTGTGTCCTCCTTGCACCAGATTTCAATCAGATGGCATAAAGTTATCTTCTACTCTCCTTGGAATCTTTCCTCTCTTCCTTCTTTGCTAGCAGGACTGGAGTAGCAAGAGTGAGGAATGAAAGGGAGGGAACTCTCAATTTCACTTGACCAAGGTCTTTTGTAATACTCAAAAATGAAATAAAGTGGGAGGGTTTTCTCTAGGGACATGGAACAGAGACATCTCAATAGCAGCCCCTATTTTTTACTACTTTCTCCTGAAAGAGATGCTTAAGCTAAATTCTTTATAAGGTAATATAAAAATTGCTTTTCAGATACTCAATAGTGTGGTTTGCTTCACTGATTATTCAGGATGTATTCATTTTAATGAGGGGGGAAAGGGTGGTGCTTTTTATTATTATTGAGATGCGCATATCACGAGCCCACTTGATCCACATTTCAAGAAAGCTGGCTTGTACTTTTGGAAGAAATGAATATAAATAAATCTAAATATTGAGGTACTTAACAATTATGGCCTAACTGTATACAGTTGGGCATCAGATTTTTGTCTTATCAGTAAAAGACTTGACACATTTATGCTGCTTTGTGGAGAGAAAAATCCAGAGATTATTAACATACTTTTACAGAACTTAATATGACATTCTGAGCACATAAGGCTCCTTTAATCCCATAAGGAAAGTAAGTGTTAAGCTGTTACTAAAATGCTCTTAAAAGCAATGCCTGCATGGGGCATGGTTGTTATCACCAACCAGCCAATTAGAAATTCATGGCTCTGCTCCCATTTCTGCTACAGTAGGTGTGACGGTTGCACTGCTGTTTCCCCAGTTCTTTCGCTCCATTTAGTTACACTGGTCTAAATATATCGCTTCACTACACACCAAAACAAACTTCTAGGAGCCAAAAGACGGTATTCAAAAGAACACCATCTTTTCTCTCCAAGGTTCCACACCTTTCAAAACCAAACATTTACTTTTTTTTAAAAAAGGGACTTCAAGTCACTCTTGCACTTTGTTTCTGAAATCAGAGGAACCTTCAGACTTAGTTACAAAAAATATTAGAGCTATACAGTGGTACCTCGGTTTAAGAACAGCCCTGTTCACGAACTATTCGGTATACGAACTCCGCAAAACCGGAAGTAGTGTTCTGGTTAGCAAACTTTACCTCTGTCTACGAACGGAAGCCGAACGGTGGAAGGGCACTGATGGCGGGAGGCCTCATTAGGAAAAGCGCGCCTCAGTTTAAGAACGGCTTTGGTTTAAGAACGGACTTCCTGGGGAAGAAATGGTGTTGGCTTTGGTACATCTGTCTCATAATGTAATATGTGAAAACCAATAAATAAATAAGTAAGAAGAACAGACTTCTGGAACGGATTAAGTTCGTAAACCGAGGTACCACTGTATATGCAGCTCTTTGCAAGGAAGTCTGCAATTTTTTTGCCTCACTATAGTACTGAAAATCTACAGTGTTCTTACACGCTGGGCAATGTTTGAATTGTGTATTGGCATTCTATTGAAGAGTGCAAAAAGGTCTTTAAGCATGTAGGAAATGAACACTGTGCGTAGCTTTGCTTCAGTGCTGGGAGCTTGAGTATAAAAGCAGGTTATTATGAAAGTGATGAACACTAACCATTCCTCAGTAGAAGAGCTTAACATATTCAATAAAATAAAAAATCCTAGGAGTGTCAAAATAATTCTTTCATAACATTTGGAAGTAAGATGCAAGGAAACTTACTATCAGTAATTTATACCAATTTCTACAGAAAGGAGGAACCTAGGAACCTAAGCAAGCTGGCTACTAATTACAGCTTTGATATTTTGTAAAAGGAGGCTATTGGGTAAGAGATAAGGGAATACAAAACACAGTTTACAGCTTTTATTGCACTTTTTTGGTGCCTTCTAGGCAAACATATTAAGATGTTTTAAACAAAACTCATACTAAATTTGTTGTCCTATAATAAAATTGAGAGCAGTACTCTGAAACCTTTCTGAGGAAAACAGAGTATGCCTTACCTTCTACCTACAGAGTATTCCACCATCTTGTAACATCAAGAAGAGTTGTTTTTCCCCCAGCCAAGGCTAATATCATTTGGTAAATTTGCAGAAAATTAGGAAAGACATATAGCAGTATTTTGAAGCAAAACACAACCAATGAAACTGAAACTCCACACCTAATTAACTGTATTTTATGGGCATAACGGAGAGTGCATATTGCCTTATGATGTAACAAAATCATAAAATATCAACTAACCACTCCCTAGCTCTCTACTAACAACCACCTATGACAAAGTTAGAAGAACTCACCGCTTAAAATTCAAAATGTGCCAGGTTCTGTCCAGCGGCGGAGCATATATCCGCGCTGCCCAGGGCGGGCGCGCTCCCGAGGGGAGCGTGGCACGGAGGGTGCCCTCCCAGGCGTGGGAAAGCCGCTTGGCTGCCCAGAGCAGCGCGCACACCCTGCAGCCGGGGGCGGAGCGAGCCGCCCATGGCGGACATTCAGCGCGCCGCCCGTCTGAGACTCCCAAACTGCCCCTCAAGCTGTCAAAACGAAGGGGGAAGGGGATAAAGCCGCTTGCAAAGCAGCACAGCTCTCCCCCCCTACCCTGACGCCGAATGTCACCCTCCTCAGTGAGGGCACCCGGGGCGCCCATCCCCCCTTCCTACGCCCCTGGTTCTGTTCAACTGTGGGGGGCCTTGGCATTTCTGTGTGTGATGTCACTCAGCAGAAGTAGGCCCAACGGGACCTGCCACAGCTATGGGGAAGCCTGACAGGGAGGCCTGTCACAGCTGCGGGAAAGCCTGTGCACATAATTCCTTGTGGCCACTTTCATGTCCCTCTAAAACCTTACAACTATTAGTCTGGCTGCCACTAATATGTGGCTGATCAGAGACTTATTTTCAGTTTTATGTTATTCTTAGAGAAAATATTCTGTAATGGTAGCTGGGAGTACATACCTATTTGCTGCTTTGTCATGTTGTTTATTTCTTGTAAGACAAGCATCTGAAACCTTTTTAGTTGCAGACATACTTAGATGCGGTGGAAATCATCAACTCTGCCAGTGTTTTATCTGAGTTAGAAAAATTACTCTCATGCTAATAATGATAACATATTAATCATGCCCTTATCTTCTGGCGAGTTCCACCTGCTAAGAAACCAAATAACAATGATCTCCTCTGAAGAGATCTCTTCTATTTCCTCACGTTTTGAAAAGGGGAAGAAACAAGATCAGCAACCTTCTCAGTGTGCCAACCCAAATCGCTGCTGAGCATAAAGCAATCAGTTCTCCAACACGCTAAATGAACTAGCCACCAATTTAACCAGTACAAAAATCCTGAGGATTCATAAGGAAGGAAATCACACAGGTTCTGAGAATGCAATCACACACCTGCCACTAATTGCTTTATTAGTATTATTGATTGAATGAAATTAAAGTATTGAAAACTGACTCTTCCAAATGTCAAATGAATGCATGGTGTCTTCCTAGTGGGAGAAAGAGGCAGGAAAGGCATCCCTGTGCTGAATCAGTAATGTTGTGGTGGTCACATCTATTTTAGCAGACTACCGGCCTCAGTGCAAAAACTGTCTGGCAAGTGCCAACAGCCGCTTACTTCTACAGTGAATGCTTGTAGTCAACCATTAGCTTTTGGAATTTAATTGAGATTCCTGCATTGCAGGGGGTTGGACTAGATGATCCTCAGGATCCCTTCCAATTCCACAATTCTATGATTCTGCAATTCAGTGGAACTCAAGCACTAGAGAGAATGTTGGGTGGAAATGAACTGGAAGTTAGGGATCAGTGATGGATCATGGGGTTTCAAATTTCTGCAGCGCAAAAATTTGGTGGCCCTCTACCTCTCATGCTCCATTCTAATTAATAGTTGTGGGGGCCCCAAGACTCTGCACCCAGGTGGTCACACCAAATTGATCACACTCCCCTAAACCCATCTCTGTAGGGATGACTCATTAATGATGTCACAATCTACTCTGTTGGCCATGCATGAAGTGAAGTCTTGGCTTAGCTGCATTCTCTTCCATTGATTTTTTTTTGTCCCTCCCCTTCCTTTGTTCCAGGTAATTACAGTCAGCATCATGTCATTTTTTTCTATCTATATTATGAAAATCCATCCCTTCCTCTCCTTTCTGTTCAGCCAAGACTCTGGTTCACGTCCAGCCATCTTCTTTCCTGTGGCCTTCCTTCGTCTCACCTCAGTTCTCACTCCTCTCTTTAGAACTCTGATGCCAAAATAATACACCTCTCCCTTCCCCTCCAGCTCTTCTGGTGCTCCTGCTAAAATCCCAATATTGGTTTCAAACTCTTCATGGCTTCATCCCCTCCCCTTATTCTCCCCTCATATCCTAAATATCCCTAGCTGTGATCTTCACTCCTCCAGTTCTACCACCCTTAGCAACCCAAAGTTCTCTTGCTCTTTTAATTGTCTGACATTCCCCCGGCTGTCCATTCTGTCCAGAACATCTACCTGAATATTTTTGTGGTAACATCCCTCCTAGGGCAGGTCCTACCATCAGGCAAAGTGAGGCAACTACTTCAAGGTGGAATTTGGCTATTCTGCCTAAG